GGGAGGATGAGGGAGGGCTGAGTTTTGACTAGATGACTTTTAGGATGGCATAGTGTGTGGCTGTTCATGATGCCACTAATAGAGATGAAAGAATACAAGAGGATGAACAGGTTTGAAATTATGAGTTCAAATTTTAAAATGTTCAGTTCAGGTGAATAGAATACATGTATAGATGGTCTCTGACTTACTATGTTTGACTTTATAGCCGTGAGAAGGTGACATGCATTTAGTAGAAACTATAGTCCAGTTTTGAATTTTGATCTTTTTCCAGGCTAGTGATATGAAGTAGGATACTCTCTTGCAATGCTGGGCAGCATCTCCCAGTCAGAATCGTAATCGCAAGGATAAACAACTGATATTCTACAATTTCCTGTGCCGCCAGATGACTTTGCCCAACTGTAGGCTATGTTCTAAACACATTTAAGGTAGGTTAGGCAAAGCTGTGATATTTAATAGGTTAGGCATATTAAATGCATTTTTGACTTGTGATATTTTCAATTTATGAAGAGTTTACTGGGATGTAACTCCAAGTTAGCAGAGGAGTGTCTACATAGAAGGGAAAAAAGGAGGAAACAAGAAAAGGGTGGAAAACAGAGTGAATCAATTAGCATGGAGGAGGAAAAAATGCCCTGCCCATTTTTGGGGCAACAGTAATACACATAGTGCATCTGCGAGCTTTTCTTGTAGTTTTATTTCCATAGGTTGCCTCCTTGGAACTTGGTTTCAGCAACTGGGTGGACCCTGAAAAATGTAAATAATCGGATTCATGGTTCCCTATCTAATGATCAACTCATTGTTGCCACCATTTGCTCTAATATGCAAAACAAAAACAAAAACAAACCTCAAAAAAAACCTATGGTTCAAATTGCTCCACTGTCAGTTTGTCTTTTTCCAGATTGTTGAATGTGTGAATAACTGTGTCCATGTCACAAACATCATTTCCAAAATGGCAATAATACAATCCAGTATGTGTGTTTTGGGAGGTCATCCTTCAAGCTCAAAATTCAGAACTGGATCATAGCCTGTCTCTAAAGTTATTTTTCTAGACCTGACATTTTCCCAAGGGGTACAGGTTACTGAATCAGAAGAGAAATTAGTCCAATAACATCTCTAAATGTCTTGAAAATAAACATTTGTTACAGCTTTAGGTTCATCATCAAATCAGAATCCCTGAAGTGAAACCTGAGTATTGGCACTTACTAAAAAGTGCCCTGGATGATTCCAGAGTACAGTAACAATCAAGAACCACTGACTTAAATGGCCAAGAGTGCACCCCCCGCCCCCCGCATCACTAAGTATATCTTCAAAGAGAACGAAACATAGTATTTGACTAAGGAGAACTTTTAACAAACACTAATCATTAATAAGTATTAAATTTGTTTTATGCCAAACGTATATTTTACATTATCAAAGTGCTCAATAATTTGGAGAATATATAATACATAATCATGTGTAAATAAAAAGTCATCACCAAAAGATTCATTGTTCATGTTTTAGAATTCTTTCCATGAGAGTCGTGGTGGCTCACGCCTGTAATTCTAACACTTTGGGAGGCCGAGACTGGGCTGCGGGGATATCGCTTGAGCCCGGGAGTTGGTGACCTGCTTGGGCAACATGGCAAAACCCCCATCTCTATAAAAAGAATTAAAAATTTTTAAAAAGAATTATGATTTCCATTTTATTTCAATGCTTTGTCTTTTAAGGGAATTTATTGACATAGCGACGATCAGATTCCATATGCAATTTTGTATCTTGCTTTTCAAATTTGCCACAGCCTTCTAAAAAATGTCCCAGACTTGTGTGTATCCACGGAAGAAACTCCGTAAGTACTTACAAATATTCTGATCAGTCATTCTTAGCCAATGAAAAGCAAAAGCTAGGCATGGGGTTTTATTAGTTTGGGAAGCAGGGAGGCATTCCAACCGGCTTCTTTCGCTCTTGCCAGGTTCAAACATGGCGGGCAGCAGCCGGCCCTTCCCGTACACTCCGCTCGCTTTCCCACAACCCCAGCCAATCTTTGGCGCTCCTTTTTTACCTTCCTTCCCCCTCGGCGGCTCCAGGGGGTCAGCACCTCGGAGCTTGACAGCAGACCTGCTTCCCGCCCCCATGCGAGGGCCCGCCCACCAGCCCGCGCCAGCCAATAACAGGCCGCGCCGAGGGGGCAGGCAGCGCCGGTCGGCCCCGCCTCCCCAGCCTCTCTGTGGCCTGCGGCTCCCGGGCGGGTAGCGCCGGCTCTCAGTCGCGTCGATTGAGCGTGTGGTATCGCTGATCGCGGGCGCTCGCAGCCGGCCATAGCTCAGCCCAGCGCCGCCAAGGCCGAAGGCCCCCAGCCTCCGCCATGGACTTCGAGGACGGTAAGCGCTGCCTCTGGCTGGTCGGCGCGGCTGGCGGGAGGCGGGGTGGCCTGCATTGAGGATCTGTTTACGGTCTCAAGATGGCCGTGTGGGCTTTGTTCTGCGGGCCCTGAGGCCGCCGGCCCGACGCGGGCCCAGCGCCCGGCGTCTGCCTCTTTGGGGACCCGCGCGCCCTGATTCGGCCCGCCCGGCGCCGGCTGCCGGCGGAGACCTGAGAACTCGGTGTTGGGTAGGACGCGCCCAGAGCGCGAGGGCCTCCCGGCTGGAGCCCCAGACTCGCCTTGGCTCCTGGTAGTGGAAATTGCCCCGACGTCTCCAACTTCCCGGTCTCGAGCCAACCGGCGAGTGCGGCCTCACCCACCTAGTCTCGCATTCGCCCCGCAGGGCAGCGCCCCAGACCGTCCGTTTAGCTAATCCTCAGCCTCGGTTTGCTTCTTGCCAGATATAATTTTCGGAGGCTTGTTCACAGTGATGTTTCTGGTTGTCCTGGTTTAAGATGAGTTGAAACGGTGTCTTTAAGTGATATATATATAAATAGCCATCTATGCGAAATGGAAAGCAAGGTGTTTCCTGGTTAGCAAACTGTTGTGTTTATCAACAAAAATTATCCCGTTGTTAATCTCTAATTTGAAATATTTACGTGAACCAAACCACTTTTCTTTGGATCGTATGTAGATAGGGTTTAAGTTAATCAGAATTTTGGCACAGCACGCATCAAATGTCCTTCACATTTAAACACCTGTACATAGCCTTGTAAGTATTTGACCTACGGATTGAATAAACTGTATTTTAGCAATACCTTTCAGTTGTCTCAGATACCAGTTCTTTAAACCACTTTTACAGGGTCACAAAGTAAAATTAATTTGGTCTTCACTTTTGTCTTCAAATTTTACTAGGAATTGTTGTCAAGATACGGTGGTATGTAGAGACAACATTAGGGAGAAAGGACTTGTATGATTAAGCTGGATTTAATCCTGAGTAACCAGGCATGCCGAAGTAAAACCAGTTCCCCAAGTAGGCTGTAAACCTTTCACCCCACCAAAAAAATGATCTTTAAATGAGATGTGATCTCAGTATATGTCTTACTCAATGAGCTTTTGATTTTTCGTAAGATTTCATGCTACAAAGAGTTAAGGCTGTCAAATCTAGGTACAGATTTGTGAAAGAGGACTGGAATAGCCCTCTTGTGGATACTTTTCAGCTACTTTGAAACAGTAAGTTGAGCTCTTCAGATTAGCACACTCTCGTGGTTTTGTTTGTTTTAGTTGGACTTTGACTCATTTTGATGTAGATACCTTTAAAATACAAATATTGGAAATGTCCAGAGTTGGGAGTGAAAATAAAAAAAGTATTGTATTTTCATGATAAAGTTTGATGGTAATGCCAACACCCAACGTATAGCAGAGGCTAACAAGGTGGAGGTAGGGCAGTGGAAGCAGTTCTTTCTCCTCCCCACCTAAAGCAGTAAGGGAATCCATTTTCTATAGAGCAATGAAAAACAATAATAAAACATACTATGTCTGCTTTCTATTACTGCCATATGCCTACAATTCTAAACAGTGTCAGTGATAAAATACTAAACAATATTAGTGATAAAATACTCCCTCTCTCACTGCCCAGATACACCACTGTTGTATTTGGAAGAAGGAATTTGACTAACACCATAGCCGAATCTAATCCTGTGTACTGTAGCAGGATTCTGTTGTATTCATTTGACCACTACATTAAATTCTTTTGTTTTTTCAGTATATATTTGTAAAATTAACTAAGGAATTTAACAGTTGTTAAATTAGTTTTGGTGAGGTAATTGGCAATATGGTTTTCAGTGATGACACATTCTGGATTAATATAGAATAAAATCATATATGTATATGCATATGCGTGTCTCAGATAAGATCTTGAATTTTTTTTTTTAATTGGAAACAGAGCCTCACTCTGTGCCCAGGCTGGAGTGAGGTTACAGTGATCTTGGCTGACTGCAACCTCTGCCTCCCGGGTTCACCTGATTCTGCCTCAGCCTCCCATGTAGCTGGGACTATAGGCGTGCACCACCAGGCCCAGCCAATTTTTGTATTTTTAGTAGAGATGGGGTTTCACCATATTCGCCAGGCTGGTCTCGAACCCCTGACCATGTGATCTGCCCACCTTGGTCTTTCAAAGTGCTGGGAATACAGGCATGAGCCACTGCACCCAGCCAAAATCCTGAAATCTTTGAAGAGCAAATTAAATGGTAAAAGAAATTAACTTAGCAAAAATTTCATGTTACTTAAAATCAGTTCTCAGATATCTTTGCTTTGGCATTATTTGATACATAATTTAATCTATCTGCCTTTTTGTTACTTGGTACGAATCAGTGCTGGATCCTCTCTTTTGGCTGTTATTATATATCAGGTGTTGTAAACTAATGTTTACCATAATTTGGATAATAAATCTACTATTTGGGGAGATAGTGAAGAAAAAAAGAGATCGGTTTTCCCAAATGGGGTATTGGTAATTATTTGTACCCCAGTTTTGCAGAAGATGCTATTTATGGGAATAATTACTGTCATTTAAAAAAATTGTGCTTATTTTGGACTAGATGGTTATATAATTTTGAATTATTGCTAATATCACACTAATTCCTTTTTGTTAAATGTGTCTTCATAGATTACACACACTCTGCTTGCAGGAATACTTATCAGGGCTTTAATGGTAAGTATACTCTTTCATTTGAGCTTTTCTCTTCATGCCCATAAAAATATATATCAATGTAAAAAGCCAGTTCAACCTATTTCAGTTATTTTTTTGGTTCTTGATATATCACTTATGTGTTAATATTATCTTACCACATATAGTTTTGAATTTGGGAAATTGGTATCAGAAAATGTTAGGGGTTATTCACATTAGTTTGATTTTTTTTTTTTTTTGTCCATTTTGTTTGAATTGTGATTCTTTTAATTTGCTCCAAAGGCCCTAACTACATTCTGAGTGATGAATCACAAGACACTGACTGAGTTCTTTTTGTTGAATTGAGGCTTTGGTATTGAGTAATATACACTGAGTGGATTATTGGCTTGGTTCTATATAGCTTGCATTGTAATGCATTTTGACCTTGTTGTTGAGGTCATTTTCTTCAGTTTGTCCAAATGTGTTAGTATATAAAGAGCTGTCTGGAGGAGCACATGAAGAAGCTTGATTGTTTATTGACTTGAGCATGACATTAGACCTGTGACTACAGAGCTAGATAGAATTATGAGAGGTATGTAGAATACAATTGGATGTCATTTTGATAGGTATTAGAGTTAGGGGCCTGCCACATAAGATAATAATACAAAAAAGAACACAGAACAATTAATAGAAGTTAAAGAGCATGTGAAGGACTTGAGGGAATGGCATTAAATATCCTGATTGCCAGAGAAATGTAAAATTCAACTTTTGTACAGAATAGAATATATTCACAAAGTAAAACTGAAGCAAATGTACCACTAAAGAAGACTATGTCCTTTATGGGAATAATCACTGTACAGTTAATTTTTATTTACTATCTTTAAAGATTAAGATGAACTTTGGATTTCATGTGGGCAGAAAAGGCTTAACATATAGGAAATTAGTATTAAAGAATATATTTGTGAGCTGGAAATTCAAAATTACCAAAGGAAGTTTAATTTGCATCCACATGTAGGTTAGATTGACAACTAGAAAATTAACTAGAAAGTCATTTTATAAATTTTGATATAAAGATTTTAAGACCTTGCACTTGGGAAGTGATAGTAGTAATCTTAAAGAGCAAATTAGCAGAACTTACAGGCTGACTAGTAATCGACAAAAAATTGAGAGGGTTGAATAAAAATGAATCCAGGATTTTAAACTGGAATGTAGGACTAGTGCTTTTATGAGAGAGAAGGGGAGGGAGAGAATTCGTAATGATAAAAGGCCATGTAAGATTTACTGGATAGTTGGATTTAGTGTCTAAACATAGGACTTGAAATGCAGATTCATGTAGGCCCGGACATTTATTGATTATTGTACAGTGTTGCAAAAAGATCTAATATGACTTTTATTTTTTCTCCTAATTTTAGTTGTAACAGTGGTTCTCCTGTGAGGGTGATTGTTGGAATCTCCTGGGGAGCTTTTTCAGTCTTTCTGTTCAATCATAGCCTATACCTTTTAAATCTAAATTTCAGGGCAAGTGGTCTTTGGCTGTGTATATTGTGCAAAACTACTCTGAATGATTTTGGAAGGCACCTCTGGGTAAAGGCCAATGTTTGACAGTACTTTTAGATCTAGTTTATTTATATTTTACAAATGAGGAGCTTAATTTCAGGGATTTAGTTTGACTTCATCCAGTGAATATTTAGTGCTTGCTGGGCATCAGATACCATTCTAGGAGGTGGGAATATAGCAGTGAACAAAATAGACAATTATTCTTGCCTTTGTGAAGATTCAGTCTAGTGGGATGAAATAGACAGTAAACAAGATAAAGAAGTAATGTATATGTCATAATTTAGTCTACAGGGGAATAAAGGGAGTAATCTCTATTGTATGTTAGATGGTGATCATTGCTAGGGAGAATAACAGAGAAGGAGAATAAATGTGTGTGTTTGTGTTTGTGTGCGCGTGTGCTCATCTGTGTTGCAATTTTAGAGTCTCTGGGGAAGGACTCACCAAAAAGGTGACATTTGAGCATAGATTTAAGATAGGTGAGTATGCAAGCCATGAGGCTGTTGAGAGGAAGACTTACAGGATTTAAGAAATAAACAATGCGTAGATACCAAAAAGCCAAAAACATATATTATTGTTAGCACTGTACTTTCTGGCAAGTGAAATGAAGTAGAAGGTATTGGAAAACATGGCAAGATACAGTTTCCCCCAAACTATTTATTGGAAGGAAAATGTATTTTCAGTGTCTCCATGTTTTCCTTCTTGCCTCATAATACCTTTTATATAACTAGCAGATAGAAGATGGGAGAGAAAAGGGTGCGGTAGCTCATGCCTGTAAAAATCCTAGTGCTTTGGGACCTCAAGGTAGGAGGATTGCTTGAGGCCAGGTAATTGAAACCAGTCTGGGCAACATAATGAGACCCTGTCTCTACAAAAAAAAAAAAAAAAAAAAAAATAGCCAGTCATGGTGGTACCTGCCTGTAGTTCCAGTTACTCCAGAGGCTGAGATGGGAGGATTGTTTGAGCCCAGGAGGTAGAGGCTGCACTAAGTTATGACTGTGCCACTGCAGTCCAGCCTGGGTGACAGAGCAAGACCACAACCCTGGCTTGACTAGAACAGCTGATTTTTTGCTGAGTAATCTTAAGACAAGGTTAGAGCGGTGAGGTGTAGCCAGAAAACATTGAAAATCAAAGATAATTTGCTTATATATAAGAAGCAATAGCAGGTGAAGACCTGAACAAGTTGAGGGAGTAAACAGTGCAGGTTCAGGGGAACGAGCATTCCAGGCAGAGGGAACAGCAGATGCCAATATGGGTATACACCTTGTGTTCTAGAAACATCAAGGAGCCTGGTGTAGTAGGAGTGGAGTGATCACGGGTGTATATAGTTGATAATGAAGTGAAGAGGTGATGGGGCAGATCATGTAGGGCAGGGTTTCTCAACTTTCTCACATTTTGGACAGGGTAATTTTTTATTGTGGGGGTATGTCCTGTGCATCATAGAACATTTAGCAGCCTTCCTGGCCTCTATATGTTAGATGTCAGTAGCATCTGCCCCCTAGTTGTGACAACCAAAAATGTTTTCAGACATTGCCAGTGTCCCCAGGGGATGCAAAATCTCCTCTAGTTAAGAACCACTGGTATAGGTTCTTATATTTTATTTTAAGCTTTGGCTTTACTTGAAGTAAGAAGAAGCCATTGGAGGTTACTGATCATTGAGCATGATTTAACTTATATTTTGTCAGAATTATTCTGGCTATTGTCTTCAGAATAAATAGTAAAGGAACAAAAGTGGAGCAGGAAAACCAGTTAGGAGACTTTTGCAATAACCTAGGTGGTAGATGCTGGTGTCTCGTAGTAGGTTGCTGGTAGTGTAGAGGTGCTAAAAAGTAGTCCCATTCAAGACTTAATGTCACACAGTTAGTTATTTTGGTCATGGGTCTGATTTTTTTCCCTAGTATTCCACAGCTGCTTCTTTGTATTTTAATTAAAAATGAGCTTTAGGTCAGGTGCGGTAGCTCATGCCTGTAATCCCAGCACTTTAGGAGGATGAGGTGGGTTGGATCACTTGAGGTCCACAGTTCGAGACCAACTTGGCCAACATGGTGAAACCTTGTCTCTACTCAAAATACAAAAATTAGCTGGGCATGATGGTGTTTGCCTGTAGTCCCACCTACTTGGGAAGCTGAGACAAGGAGAATCGCTTGAAACCAGGAAGCGGAGGTTGCAGCTAGTTGAGATCACGCCACTGCATTCCAGCCTGGGTGACAGTGAGACTCTGTCTCAAGAAAAAAAAATGAGCTTTAGCATTTTTGAGCATGTTATTTGTAGGAGTGATCGAAGTGATAGAATATATTTGATTTAAATTATTAGGTCAGTTTTATTTTTCTGGGTAAATTACTTTTAATAGTAAAGAGATACTATTATGTTCTCACGGTTTTATTTTTAAAAGTGATTTTAACATTCATTTTGTTGACCTGGAAGAAAAATTTTATAAAAGGAGTCATCTTAACAAAATCTGTAGCCCTATAACACACTGATTGTATACAATATAAAGGCTTTTCTTCCTCTTTAAATGAGTAATAACACTACTGTGATCAACCAGAATCATTGCTATATCAAAGTAGCTTTATTAATTTTTGTACATTTCACAGTGCCTAACACATACATGATTAGTGTTCAATAAAGTTAATAATTTTATGATTCTATAGTGAAATAATAATACAATTAAAAAACGAAAGGATTTCGTATTCAAAGGCAGCCAGTGGTAACTCAGAGTAGAAACTAGCAAAAATAAAACATAAGATTCTTTTCTCTGCATACCTGACTAAACAGTATTTTTAAATATCAGGCCTTAGAGGAAAACTTTTCATTTTGAAAACTTTGTTTTAATCTCAAAATTACCCTCTGAGAGATACGAGTATAAATTTTACTATATGCTTACCAACTATCATGAATAATTAACTATTTTATTAATCTGGCACTGTGTTGTCCAATATGATAGCTACTAGCTGCAGATTACAGTTGAGCACTTAAAACATGGATAGTCTGAACTGAGGTGCTCTGTAAGTGTAAATTACATACCAGATTTGAAGTCTTCAAATGAAAAAAACAGTGTAAAATATCTCAATATGTTTTATATTTTAACATATTGATAAACTTTTTGTACTGTCATATCGAAATCCATTAGTAAGTTTTGCACTTTGAATGGATACTTTTTAACCATATGTTATTTTGTAATATCAGCATTATTTGGAAAATACTGGTTTTTCTATAAAATGCAGATTTTCCAAATATTGATAGGTTTTATGGCACAATATTTAAAAAATATTCAGTAATCCCACCACCAACCTTATCAGAAAGCCTTTAAGTGTTGGGAAGCTGTCAAGCTCAAGGTGGTAGTTACAACTTTTTTTTTTTTTTTTTTTTGAGATGGAGTTTCGCTCTCATTACCCAGGCTGGAGTGCAATGGTGCGATGTCGGCTCACCGCAAACTCCGCCTCCTGGGTTCAAGCAGTTCTCCTGCCTCAGCCTCCCGAGTAGCTGGGACTGTAGGCGTGTGCCACCATGTCCAGCTAATTTTTGTATTTTTAGTAGCGACGCTGTTTCACCTTGTTGACCAGGATGGTCTTGATCTTTTGACCTCGTGATACACCTGCCTCAGCCTCCCAAAGTGCTGGGATTATAGGCTTGAGCCACCGCGCCCGGCCAACTTTTATAGAATTCTGATGTTCACTTGAAAGCGTGAATTTTATCATTGGCAACAAATAATGTCAGTTGTTTTTGTTAAAACAGTAGTTTTACTTAGTTCATTAGAAAATGTCTGCCAGATGCCCAAATCGGAAAACCATCATATTTTTTCTGTCAGTCTTTCTTTATAGTAAAAAGATTACTTGTAAAAAGTGGCTAATTTAATTCACAAACCAAACACTTGCACAATGACTTTTCCTGGGAGAACTATGATACTTTGGTATGCAGCCAAATTGCATGATATGTTCTTCCATTTCATTACAGAGAACATAAAAAAGATACATACTTAAAGGTCATGTTTCAATAAAATTGATAATTTTTACTGCTTCATCAAGCACATTCTGAGGTGAAAATGGCATTTATATTTTATTTTTACTGTGAGCATGTAATGTTAAAGAATGTAATGATTACCAGTGAAATCTGTTGCCACTGCCTTGATTTGTGCTAAGTCACCAGCAGTTTTACCCACCAGTGCTTTTGCACCTTTGGTGCAAGTTGTCAGCACTGTGAAAAAGGCAAATAATGTTCAGGTGTTATTTATTAAAATATTTTGACTTTGTGGATCCCCAGAGAGGATCTCCGCAACTCCTAGTGGTCAGCAACTGCCTTGACAACTGCTTTTCTAAGTTAAAAGTTGGACCCTTACCACAGGACTGGTCAATTTAAGATAAGGCCACAAATGGCAGAGGTAAGGCAGAGTATCACGAGCACTATGTGAGAGTTATAGGCTTTTGTAAATATTCAGAAGAAATATGACACTCAGCTGAGAGAATATCAGTAAAAGTGTTCTTGAATGCATTAGTATTTGAAATGAACTTTAAAAGATTAGAAAGTTTCAGTAAGCCAATATTTAGGGTGGTAGAGGAAAATGTTTCCTGTAGAAGTAATAGCATGAGACTAGACAAGAGGCTACATATAGAATTTTGGGAAAATCATTTCAGCTCTTTGGACTTTAGTTCCCCAGAATGAGATTGATTTTGAACATTTAGATTGCTACCAGATTGAAAGTTGGATGACTTTGAATACTATTTTTATAAAGTTGTTATTGTTGTCATTATTATTGTTGTTAGGACTGGAGATATTTAAATGATTATAAATAAAATTTAATGTTTTAAAAAATATAAAATTAACGTCTTTACTCTGTGTGTACTATTGTATTTATTTGTGTATGACATTTGGGGAAGATAGTAATGAGGGATTTTTAAAGGACTTTATAAAAAACATTCTAAATGTTTTTACTTTCTGATTTTTATAGTCATCCGAAATTGATTTTGTTACCTCTTTTGTTTTATTTATTTTTCATATCAGAGGTTGTTATATAGGCAGAATTGCAGTGTCATAAAATAGACTTTATATGCTTATAGTATTAGTTTTTTTTTTAAGTGTTCACATTGCTAGAATTTGCATTCATTTTCTTTTTTTAAACCCCGCCCCCCCATTTTCTTTCTTTAAGGGAATTTGAAGGTTTAAATATTTGTTGAGTCATAATTTATAGGCACAATGCCATAGATTGGTCTCAATCTATGATTTTACTGTTTAAAAATATCTTTTTCAATTACTGTGAACAAGGCTAATTGGAAATGTGGCTTCTTCTGAGTTTTCAGACATTTAGAGAGCAGTTAGATGCAGAAAACAAGTACAGTCTACTGCCATCATATAGGACAAAAATTTCCCCTTTGACATTAGTAAATGCTGACTTCTCTTGAGAAAAGGAATTATGCATCATTAAGTATCTTTATGTATGCTATAATACTTAGTACAAGGCCTTAAAGTAAATATTGGGTAAATGTAAAATAATTCTGTGGCCAGGCCAGGTGCAGTGACTCACGCCTGTAATCCCAGTACTTTGGGAGGCTGAGGTGAGCGGATTACTTGATCCCAGGAGTTCGAGACCAGCATGGGGAACATGGTGAAAGCCCAACTCTACCAAAAATATAAAAATTAGCCAGTCTCATAACCCAGTCTCAAAAGAAAATAAAAATAGAAAACAATTATATAACTTTTAGTTGAAAGTATGTTTTTCTTTGAAACATCAGACTTTTTTTAGCAAATCTGATCGAGTGGGTTCTCATCTTTGGGTATTTCCCTTCAGTGTTTAGTGTGTGTTTAATTTAAATGTTAATGGTACATTATTATCTTAGGTGATTGATAGGAATATCCTGTGTTTTGTGCAAAGATCCCTGAAGAGAATGGTGTATTTCATTGACAATTTCTTATTGACTCTCTTTTAGGAATGGATCGTGATTATGGTCCTGGATCTTATGGAGGTCTGGCATTCAAGGATATTTATCTAAAAATTCTTCTTTTGAGTGCCAGTAAAGGTGAGCATCATATAACTTTTTTCTTTTTAAACTCTTATAGGGATGGATCGTGACTATGGCCATGGATCCTATGGGGGTCAAAGATCCATGGATTCCTACCTAAACCAGTCATATGGCATGGACAATCACAGTGGTGGTGGTGGGGGTAGCAGGTAAATTGCTTAATCATTTGGCCAAATAATTAGACAACTATAAGATTCTGGCTATATTAAGTATTCTTTAGGCATGTTATGAACTTCACTGTTTGCTATTGAATCATCACCTTAAATGTTTAAAGGTGTTAATTAATGGGTATAAAATTTAAATCAGGATTACTGGCAGACATTTTAGGAAAACACAGATAACTATATCATATCGACATAATAGAGTAAGATACTCTGTTTTTAGCAGTGAACTTTTTTTTTACTTCTTTTACTTTTAACTACTTATCAATCAAAATATCCTGAAAAAGGATATAACAGTGTTATTGAAAATATTATTTGTGAAGCTTTTCGTAATAATTGAAGAAATCTTTTCTGGTGTGGGGTGCTATGTAAATTAGCAAAGCAGTCTAACTAGAATGGATTTTACTGAACCAGTCTAACATTTACTTTCTCAGAAACATTCAAGACAGATATTCCTTTAATTTTAAAGGAAGAACATATTATAATAATAAAAATATTTAAAAAATTATGTCCAGGTTATTTATTGGCAGGTACTATTTATACCAAAACAGTTGTGCTCTAGGCTAGGAGCATTGTATTAAAGCCATGAATGCTATACATTTGACTAGTCTAGATTGTGTATTTATATTTTATTGTTACTACTGTATAAAGCTTAAACCTGCTTAAACAACACAAGCTTTAAGGTTGACCATATTTCAGGAGAAGGGGTGTCTACTTTTTGAGGCACAAAGGTTCCTGCTGAATATAAGTAAAACTAGTTAGTGGACATTTGAAACAGTCGTCCTTCTTCATAAATTGAAGGATCCGGATTTCTTAATGATGGACTGAATGTTGCTTACTTTCCTTCTTTCTGCTTCCAGTGTGCCACTATGGTTTAGAGTAAAGAAAAATTAAGAAAGTGAACAGTTACAACTATTTTGCTTATGTGACAGATGTTTTGAAAAATGTAGTTGGAAATAGGAATAATTTTTATATGGTTACTAGGATTCAGAAATAAATAGTACCTTCTATTTAGTGATCTGTAAATAATTGAAGTAATGTAACACTTAATGTTTTAATATGTGAATGTAATGTGCATAAGCTATTTCTGTAGATGTTATTGTTTTATCTCGTGTAATTGTGGGCCTTTATAAAACTGTGTTGTAAGATAATCAGGCAACTTTTGTAATCCATGCTTTGGGTTTGTGAGAAGGAAGATGATTTATTTCTTCTGTTAACTCTATTAAAAGTTCAAGGAGACTGTGTGCTCCCCTTTTTAGGGTAGTTTTATGTGATAATTTTTTCAGATAATTCAAGATATTATAAGATGTATTCATTCTCATCTGCCTTGAAAATTCATATGTAGAGGGTATATGTTGGTGATCTTGTTTTATTTTATGTGTTTATCCTTCTAGATTTGTTAGATTTTCTAGTCTACAAGTACAAAGTGATTGAGGATTGATTAATTGACCTTGGCTGAAGTTTGGCAGATTGTCAAATTTTTACAACCAGAGATAATTCCCCAAATTTGGATTACTACAGACACAATGAAGCAGTTTGTGATATAGATTATTGGGAGTGCAAAAGGATCTTGTGTCACAAATAACCTACACCTATGTAGACTTCAATTTGTGTCCCCATTGAAAGCCAAAATATTGTAAATGTTTTGTAATTTTTAATATTAGGGATAGAGTCAAAAAAGTTTGAATAGTTTGTGAACTTTAGCAAATGACCTTTTCCAAGACTAGGGCTGGGCTTAAATAATGACAGACAAATCTTTTCTTCATAAAATAGAAAAGCTGCTAAGAAGCAGATTTTAAGCTAAGTTTTACTAAACTCAATTCACATTTAAAATCTGACTCAGATAGCTTTCTATCTGGTCTCACGTTGAACTGCCCAGCCCTAATCAAGTGTGAACAAAAGTAGAACTGTGCAAACCAGTATGGTATAAATGAATTTTAGTTGATAAATGTCATCTGATAATTTGTCTTTTGAATTGTCTAACATTAGTAAGCTTACTTTTGTTTTTTCCCTCACTGTGCAACTTTTCCAGGTTTGGACCTTATGAGTCTTACGACTCCAGGTCTTCTCTGGGTGGGCGAGATCTGTACAGATCTGGCTATGGTTTTAATGAACCCGAACAAAGCCGCTTCGGAGGTAGTTATGGTGGTCGATTTGAGAGCTCCTACCGGAATAGCCTTGACTCTTTCGGAGGTAGAAACCAGGGCGGGTCTAGCTGGGAAGCACCTTACTCCCGTTCAAAATTGAGGCCTGGGTTTATGGAGGACAGAGGAAGAGAGAATTACTCTTCCTACAGCAGTTTTTCTTCACCCCATATGAAGCCTGCACCTGTAGGCTCTCGGGGGAGAGGAACGCCTGCTTATCCCGAAAGTACGTTTGGAAGCAGAAACTATGATGCTTTTGGAGGACCATCAACAGGCAGAGGCCGAGGCCGAGGAGTAAGTACAACAGAATCTTTTCAGATTCTTTTCACTAGTCACTCTTTTAAACCCTTTCAAGACCATCGTTTTCAACTAGAATAAACACTGTTCTCCCAGTGTATTTTGAAGCAAAAGCTGAGTCATAAACATAATTTTTAGGTTGACATAAAAGTTTTTCCAGCACCTCAGAAAATAAGTGACAGTTTGAGATGATCATGAAGTTGTGCCAAATCTCCCTTTATTAAAAAGGTGAGGCTGTTAGATTTGGTCTAAAAGGGGTTAAAAGGAGTTGCATTTTTCCTTGTAAACACTAGCAGTTTTGCTGGTGGAATAGTTTGTGGATTATTGTGAAAGGTCACTGAACCCTTTTTGAGTTTTTGAGTAGGTTAAAGGTGCAATGTATGATAAAATGTTTATACTTTGTTGCTAAACTCTAGCAAGTAGAATTTCTTCAAAGCTCCATGTTTCACATTAAGCAAAAGAGACTAAAAAGTTGATGATAGATTAGGATAGCTTAGCCATGTTTATGTGGTGAAGAAGTTGTTGGGTATAACAGATTGTACAATGATTTGTGGTCAGTGTAATTTTGCTAAGTCACTCTTACAATATGTTCAATTGCTGGTTGTTTTACTTTCCCTTGTGTTACTAGTTTTACTCTTGAGAAATAATTTCCACCTGTATAGATATGTTTATGGCTTCTTCTTAGGAAGTAATAATTTGTAAATTATTGCTTAAATGAGTAAATATACTAGTCCACAATTGTTTAATTTTAGGGTACGTAGTGTAAACATTATGCTTTATGTTCTTAGGGTACTTGATTGACAGGAAATTTTACTTAGTAAGTGTATGTAGATTGTGGGGTTATTACATAGTTTGATCATTTAAAGGATATTGTATTTTTGTTATAATGTAATAAGAATCTTGTTAAGTCAGCTTCTCTTAATATTTTCTTTGCAGAGGAAAGTATTTCTAGCAAAAAATGTAGTAGGGTACACATTTTTGACTGGTTGTTAACCTTTGGTATATCAGTGTAGCTTGTTATACTTGTGTAGAAATTTTGCGTTTTTAACAGTTACTTTTTTCTTATGTAAAAATGCATTGCACCTTTAATGAGTAATTAAGGAAGATTTTCCTGATGTGACTTTAAATTACCTGGAAACACCACTAGGTTAGATAGGTATTCCTAAGCAAATGTAAGTAACTGATACATTACAGTTCCAATATACTTCATGATTATAGGTTAATTGAAAATAGTTGGAATGATAGGCCTTGGGTTTTGAATTGAAAATCCATTCTAGTTTGAAAATTTGTAAAACACTTAATATTTTCCGTGCTGTATATTATTTTAGGCAAAGTGTGTTTTCTTAATGAGGCTTCAAAAGTCAATTTTGTTTTCATAGTAGTAAAACAAGTATTCCTGTACTTTGTATTTACCATTCTAGTCTGAATGGACTTTTCTTCCTCTCCTCCTGGTAGTGAAGTATATGAGCCAATAGGACCTACATTTTTAATCTTCACTTGTACAATTCCCCTTGGGTCCTTCTCTTCAGATTACTCCTCCATCTTTATCTTCTAAAAGTAAGATTAGCAGAATAAATTTCTTTGGACATGTGGCCTCTTGGTTTAGTGGATTTGGATAATGACCAGAGAAGAGGAAGGGACACAAAGAGTCGTTTGGTTGCATGACTCTTCATCTGTAAACTTTTGTTTCTTGGGTTTCTGGGTCAGAAAATGTTTCTCTAGGTAGGAATGTGAATGGAACGTCAGATGCAATTCTTTATCTGAAGTGTGTCTTGGAAGTTGATGCATGGTTATGCTTTAACTCTCCTATTTCATACTAATGTTCCATCTCGCCTTCTCATTCCCTTTTTCAACAGGGAGAAATACTAAATGATTTCTGGATCTTTTTTACTTCAAACTACAAATATGGTCTTCTTTGTGTATCTTAGTTGTAAGCCAGGTTTTAGTAAAATAAAGATTTCTTTTAGGGTCTTTTCATGAGAAAACATCAATTAGGAACTCTGAAGAGGAGTTGTCAGAGAGTTGTACAAGTGGTAACATTTGGATAGGCACATATGTTGTCTATAATCTCAAGTAATTTTGAAATGTAAAAGTTAAAACAGGTAGCAAATATTCATTTGTTCTACTGGAAATAAAAGTGCTAATTCAGTGGATTCGAGCTTATGTAATAATTTACAGAGTTTTCAATGTGTTTTTTCAGAATGGACATGTAAAATTTAGTTACATTCCAGGGAATTTTCAGGTGAAAATTAGTAGATAGTTAACATGATAATTTTATATGAATTTATATTTTATCTTGGTTAATATGCTAATATTTATTGATTTCACAAATTTACAGCATATGGGTGATTTTGGAAGCATTCATAGACCCGGAATTGTTGTTGACTATCAAAACAAATCCACCAATGTGACAGTTGCTGCTGCAAGAGGAATAAAGAGAAAAATGATGCAGCCATTTAATAAGCCCAGTGGAACCTTTATCAAGAAACCCAAACTAGCAAAACCTATGGAGAAGATAAACCTCAGCAAATCACCCAGTAAGTAAAAAAACATAATTGCTGTGGTTCAGGATACTTTTAATTTTTTTCAATTCCATACTTTTAGGTAACTTTTTTCATGTTTATATAGGGAAACTACGTAACAATCATGATTGTAGAAATTAGATCTTTGAATCCCCTATTGCAGTTAATAATTGGTCATGAATACCCAAAGATACTTTTAAAATGTACATACCTTGGACCATTTATTTTTCCTGAATCCTGTGTGGTTGTGTATCAAACCCTCTACAGTTGAGTAAACAGGCACAGAATAGATAAATAATTTGCTGCCTAGGTCAAACAACCAGTAAATGGTAATGCCAGGATTTATTCCAGAGCAAGTAATGCTCTAGAAATCCTGTTCTTAAACCTCCTTATGAACTGTAACAGAAGTTTGCTTTGTGTTAATTTTTCCCTTTTATTTTAAAAGAACCTTTTCCCTAATTATAACATTATAGACATTTTAATATGTAATACTTGAAAGAACTGAAATTGCGATGTTAGATTCTTTCCTCAAAATATTTTCTATAATATAAAATTCAAGAAAGGTTTAAAAACTATACTTAAATTACTTTCTCATCATGCCTTATTGTTTAATAAGAAATAACAATATTCTGGAATTTCTGGAATTCTGGAAACCTGAAACTAAGAATATGTGTTATGGGGATACTTTTTGCAGTTTGTCAATTGATAGACTGTTATATATCAAATATGAAATTTTATTAGACATGACTATAATAGAAAATTCAGTTGATTCTCTTGGGACCTATTTCAAAGATACACTTTGCAGTTATGGTTAAATATTGCAAAAGTTTGATAAACTGATTGTCCAGTAAAGCAGATATATATGTATCCTCCCTATCCCTTCCTGATTCCCCCTTTTTTATATAACAAAACTTGAGAATAGTGTTGCGTAGCTAAGAATGGAACTAAAATTCTTTAGTTAAATTATGCCTTCTGTCAGGTGTAAAATCGGCATTTAAAAAGATGATTGCTGAATTTTCCTCAATATGAGGTGTTGCTATGCTGTAGTATAGACTATATGACTATAGAAAATTGATAGGGAAGGAACCTGATTCTGTCACTTGGCTAGAAGTACAACATGTCATAGTTTTATCATATGAAAGAAAGATTAAATTACCTCTTATTTGAGGTAATATATGAGTAGATTTTTCAAAGGCCATCCAAAAGGATAAGCAGTGCATAAAAGGAAAAATTTAAGGGCAAATAGGTAATTTTTTTTAAGTGTAAAGTTAAATGTATTATAAGAAAGAACCTGCTCACAATGAGATACCACTTCATACCCACTAGGATGGTCATAATTTAAAAAAAAAGGAAAATAACAAGTGTTGACAAGGATATGGGAAAATATGTGAAAACCCTCACACATTACGGAGAGGAATATAAAGTGGTGAAGCCACTGTGGGAAGCAGATTGGTGGTTCCTGAAGCAATTAAACATAGACTATTCATATGATCCAGCAATTCTACCTCTAGGTATTTTACCCCAAAGAATTTAAAGTAGTGTTCAAACAAAAATTTATTCATTTATTTATTTTTATTTTTGAGACAGGATCACGCTCTGTTGCCCAGGTTGGAGTGCAGTGGCACAGTCTTGGCTCCCTGCGACCTCCGTCCCTGGGTTCGAGTGATTCTCATGCCTCAGCCTCCTGAGTAGCTGGAACTACAGACGTACACTACCATGCCCAGCTAATTTTTGTATCTTGAGTAGAGACTGTTTCGCCATGTTGGCCAGGCTGGTCTTGAACTCCTGGCCTTAAGTGAGCTGTTTGCCTCAGCCTCCCAAAAAGCTAAGATTACAGGCATGAGCTACTGTGCCCCGCCCAAACAAAAATTTACATATAAATGTTTATGGCAGCATGATTCTTAACAGCCAAAGGGTAGAACAACTGAAATATACATCAGCAGATGAATGGTTAAAAAATGTGGTGTATTTATACAAAGGAATTTTATTAAACCATAGAAAAGAAGGAAGTACTAATACATGATGCAACATGAGTGAACTGTGAAAACATGCTAAATAAAAGTCAGACCAAAAAGGCACCAGACAGGATGATTCCATTAATATGAAATACCCAGAATAGTCAAGTCCATAGATCAGAAAGCAGATTAGTGGTTCCCAGGGCCTTAGGGTAGGGTTGAAATGGGGAGTGACTGCTTTATGGATGATGAAAAGTTCTGTAACTAGATAGTGGAGATGGTTGCATAACTTTGTGAATGTACTTAATGCTATTGAATTGCACATTTTAAAGTGGTTAGACTAGTAAATCTTACGTTTTGTGTATTTTATCACAATAGAGAAACTTTTTTAAAAAAGAGAACAAATGTGGTTTTATTTTGGAGACTATACATTTTAAGAAATTTTCTGAGAGCTCCTACAATATGAATTCTTGCATCCAGGGCTCTCCAGTGTTTACCGGACTTTCATTTTCATGCTGGGTCACGTTACTTCAGTGTTTCCCAGAGTATGTATGTGGTATCCAAGATGATTTTAGGTGATAAGGATATTATTGCTTAGAATAAAGATAGGACAAATGAGCAGATTTAAAGAAAAATTTGTAGCAAATAATTACATAGATGACAAGCAAATATGACAGACTTCTTTTGTGAAGATGGTATTCAAATGAAGTTCATTCAATGAAGTTTCAGAAATACTGGACAGTCTCAAACTCTGATTTTTTTGGTGAGTTCAATTTTAGATTACAATCACTAAGTAAACCTCATAAGTATGTACTTTATGAACTGATGATTGGAAAGGGAGAATGGAAAATGAATTTTAGCTTTTATATTTTTGTGTGATATCCTAGCAAAAACTGATCCTAAAAGTGAAGAGGAAGAAAAGCGACGAATTGAGGCTCGGCGAGAGAAACAAAGGCGCAGAAGAGAAAAAAACAGTGAGAAATATGGAGATGGATACAGGTTTGTGTTTAGAGTCAGAATGTTAGGCTTACTAAAAATGATTTCCTAGAAAAGGCAGACACATCAATTGTAATGTGAAAAATTTCTTAAGATTCAAATGAAAAGACTTGTTCAAAGATATAGATATATAGGAATGCTTTTGATTTTTGATTTTATATGTAATCACTACTTAGAAAACCTAAGAAAAAAGCCATTATATTCATAATGGGAATCCAAAAAATATAAAATATTCAGAAATAACAGTATTCTTAAAAGGAAACCAACTTGTTCACGCCTGTAATCCCAGCACTTTGGGAGGCTAAGGCGGGTGGATCACGAGGTCAAGAGATCGAGACTATCCTGGTCAGAAACCCCGTCTCTGCTAAAAATGCAAAAATTAGTTGGACATGGTGGCACGCGCCTGTAATCCCAGCTACTTGGGAGGCTGAGGCAGGAGAATGCTTGAACCTAGGAGGCAGAGGTTGCGGTGAGCCGAGATTATGCCATTGCACTCTAGCCTGGGTAACAAGAGCAAAACTCCGTCTCAAAAAAAAAAAAAAGAAACCAACTTGTTCTTGAGATTTGACTATGTGGAGACATAGTGATCATAGTGATTTTCATGGGCAGGAACTAAATATTACAAATATGTAAGTTCTTTTCAATTCAGATTCCAAAGAAAATTCTGAAGAAGAGTAAATGAGGAGGTACTGACTTTTATGGATATTCAATCATTAAAAAGCTGTTAATAGTTAAAAATATGTGGTAATACACAAAGCAAATTATTATACTGGAATCATTAGCCTGTGAAGAGACTGTAAAGAAGAATGTAATATTTAATAAAGAAAATATTAGAAATGAGGAGAATTGGTTGAACAGTTAAATAACAAAAATCAGTTTAGAGCCTCCTCATATGCTACCTGGAATCAATGTAGTAAAAAAATGAAATTACAGAAAAACAAAATGTTCTGCAAGGAGATTATCCAAATTAAATTAAAACATCACCCAAATTCTTTTGAAAAGTAAGAAAACTGGGATGTTTAATATTTAATGTGATGAGGAAACACAGCTAGTGATAATTTTAAGGAAATTGTTTAAACTTAATAGTAATTTAAATAAACTAAAAATTTAAAGAATAGTATGCCATTTTATTACTAAGGAAAAATTTGACTTGCTAATTAAGGAATGGTCAAAGGACACATAAATTGTTGGTGACGGTATAATATTATAACTCTAGAAAGCAATTTAGCAGTTTTTAAAACAGTCTTAATTTTTCTTAAAGCTTTGAGCCAAGAAGTTTGAGGCCAACCTGGGCGACATGACAAAACCTCATCTCTAAACAAAACCATCCATAAACAGAAGGGTAGTTGTAGTTTTAAAAACTACGACTATTTTTGGTCCTTGTGAGTGTACTGCCCCACTTCTTCTCTCTTGTGATTCCTTCTTTTGGTAGAAGTAACAGGCATAGTTAGGTTTTGGTGTGGAAATAAATTGAAATTATCAGTGTCTAGGAATGTAAAAATCATTTTACATTATAAGATGCAATCTTTTAAATTTAATTGCCCTACGAGTACTTTTCTTATCAAAAATTTTAGATCTGGATATGTTCATGTTAATATAACAAATTGTGATTTGGAGAAAATTAAAACTGAACTTTCATTTAGCTATTTTCTCTAACTCTAAATATAAATCTGATATAATGAAAAGAATGTCAACTCATAATATGTCACTATTTTATGATATAATTTCTTTAAAGTAGTCAAATTATTTTCATTTATTAGAGCAGTTTTGAGTTATGAGGATTCAAGATTGAGTAAATCACTATTCTTGTGATTGGTTCCTTCCCTTGGATATTTGAATGCTTTTAACATAATAAAGAGGATGGAAAGGTGTATACCTACCCTTAAGGGAACCTAGGGAGAACAAGATGGATGTGTGAGAGATGTACACATATAATACTATATGGTGAAGGATACCAGAAGAGAAGTACAATGTAGTCTTATGAGAAATAACTTCTTCATAAGGGTGTAGGAAGCTGAGCGTGGTAATTCTAGCACTTTGGGAGGCCGAGGGGAGGTGGACTCCTAGAGCCTAGGAATTCAAGAATATCTTGGGCAACATGGTGAAACCTCATCTCTACAAAAAATATAAAAATTAACCATGGTCACAGGTGCTTGTGGTCCCAGCCACTTGGGAGGCTGAGGTGGGAGGATGGATTGAGCTTGGGAGGTGGAGGTTGCAGTAGGTTGAGATCATGCCACTGTACTCTAGCCTGGGAAACAGCAAGATTGCGCCACTGCACTCCAGCCTGGGCAACAGAGCAAAAAATAAATAAATAAGGGTGCAGGGAAATCAGGGGAGGCTACGATGATGGAAGTGGTATTTGTGTTGATCTGGGAATGTCAGGGTTACAGGAGGAGTTGTGAGAGGAAGCCCAGGTAGAGGCCATGGTTTGCCATAAAAGCAAATAAACAGGAATGTGTTATTGATATTTAGAAAATTGAGAGCAGTGTAGATTGAAGTGACTCTAGTGCGGTGAAAGGTGTAATCTAATTTAAACATTTAATGAAGGTTTGCTATGTGCCAGATATTGTTAAAGGAATTGGTGAGTAAAGCCAAGAAGGAGAGATTAGGAAATTTCCCAGATGCTAGCTGAAAACATTTTTGTCTTTGTTTTTTGAGGCTTAAGGAGCTAATGATGCCCTTAGAGGAGTAATTTGCTCTTACCTCCTAGAGGAAGTAATAATAACTAATTGAATAATTATTGTGTGTTAGAAATTGTTCTAAGGGCTTTATATGTATTTTTAAAAATCCTCATAACACATCTATGAGCGTTCTGATCTCAATGTAAGAAAACCAAGGCCCAGAGAAGTCAAGTAACTTGCCCAAGATCACAAAATGGAATTAGGATATGAACTCAGCAGTTGGCTTCAGAGCTTATATTCTCAACTATGAAAGTAAATCTAATAGCATTGCAAATAATTAATTAGAAAATGGGACTAGAAACAGAAACCAGTTATGTCACTGCTAGCCTAATTCAAGGAAAAGAAAATAACATGAGATAGAAACAATTATGCTCTGTGCAGTGGCTCACACCTGTAATCCCAGCTCTTTGGGAGGCTGAGACAGGTGGATCACCTGAGGTCAGGAGTTCAAGACTGGCCTGGCCAATTGAAAAAAACCCCGCCTCTACTAAATATACAAAAATTAGTGGGCGTGGTGGTGCATGCCTGTAGTCCCAGGTACTTGGGAAGCTGATGTGGGAGAATCTCTTGAACTCGGAAGGTGGAGGTTTCAGTGAGCCAAGATCTCACCACTCCATTCCAGCCTGGGCAACAGAGCAAGTCTCCATCTCAAAAAAACAAAAAAAAAAAAACAAAAAACAAGTGGGACAGTTCATTCTGGAGTGGCTCTTGAGCTTACAGATGTATGCATTTGTCCAGTCCAGACCTATTAGTTATCCTGAAGTGAAGTGGTCATTAGAAGGTAAGACTTTTGATCACCTAAGAATTCCATAGGAGTGAATTATGATTGTCTGATGGTGTGCCACTATACTTAGTTGATACTACCAGTGGTTTAGAAGCTTGAGGATGGAACAACATGTAAAATGTTACAGAACTTTGGAACTTAATACTTCTTGAGGTTTGCTTTGGCTTTTTAATTGGTCTAGGCTTGAAGTAGATAATTTATATATCCACTGCTTCCATTTTTCCTACGTGGAAGCTCCAAGGTGGGCCAGAAATGCGAAGTGGTAAAATGACTCTGCTGTCTAAATAAGTACTTAAAGAAATATTGGTTTTTTTTTTTTTGGATTTAAGCTAATTTTAATTCAGTATAAAATGGAAGAAAGGAAATAATTTATGTTGATAAAATTAGTTTCAATGGTATATTCTTGTGAACTTGTTATAAGTGAAAAAAGTAATATTTGAAGGAAGACTTTTTTTTGTCTTATAGAATGGCATTTACATGTTCGTTTTGTAAATTTCGAACATTTGAAGAGAAAGATATTGAACTGCATCTGGAAAGTTCTTCACATCAGGAAACATTAGATCATATACAGAAACAAACTAAATTTGATAAAGTAGTTATGGAGTTTTTGCATGTAAGTAGCTGTTTTTGAAATGAGAAGCATTTTATTGATGTGAATTTCTTATGATTTCATTTTTCACTTTCCCCATCTCTCACATTTTGTATTTCTAAAATTTTAGTTTACTATTTAAAGAAAGAGTTGTTTTAAAATTAACTCATAATTGCTTGTGAATACCTCTATAATAGAGTTTGTTAAAATTAACCCATAATTGCTTATGAATTCCTCTATAATTTGGATTTGTTATTTCAGAAATTATTACATTTTTCACAGTTGTTTCTGGTGGAGGTGTCCTTTAACAACTTTATTGATGTAGAGTCAGCTATCATCCATTAAGTGGAGTTATGCTAGATACATTCATTCATTATTTCAATTGAGCCTTAAAACAACTCATTTTTATCATGAATGATTATGCTCAGAGTAGCTAAATGACTGTTAGGTGGCAGTGCCAGGAATTCAGAGGTACCGTAAGTGTTTGGTAAAGGGAAAGACAGTTGGGAATGTTAAAGAATGCTTAGGCCGGGCATGGTGGCTTACGCCTGTAATCCCAGCACTTTGGGAGGCTGAGGCGGGTGGATCACGAGGTCAAGAGATTGAGACCATCCTGGTCAACATGGTGAAACCCTGTCTCTACTAAAAGTACAAAAAATTAGCTGGGCATGGTGGTGCGTGCCTGTAGTCCCAGCTACTCGGGAGGCTGAGGCAGGAGAATTGCCTGAACTCAGGAGGCGGAGGTTGCCGTGAGCCGAGATCGTGCCATTGCACTCCAGCCTGGGTGACATGAGTGAAACTCCGTCTCAAAAACAAAAACAACAACAACAACAACAAAAGAATGCTTAACGAAGGGGCTTGAGCTGGACTGTTTATTGAACATACAATTAATTTGGACAGAAGAGATGGAATTATTAGAAAGAAATACAGTGATTATCCAGGCCAATATAATCTTCACAGAACTGTGACCCTTGATTAACACTTTTCTGTAATGTATTTCCGTTGCCCTAACTTAAATACCCACCTACTCTGAGAAGACCACTTAAATATTCTGGCTCCTTTTGATCTCTTTCTGTATATGCTTAAATAATTTTTGTAGGTTCCTAGTATTTTATGAGTCTCTTTTCAACTAAATTGTAAGCTCCTTAAGAAAAGATATTAATTCTTATATAGCAGATACTACGTCTTTCATAGAATGAACATAGTGCTAAGCATTATACTAAGTGCTCATTGAAAACTTTTGATTTTTTCTGTTTTGTTTTCTAGGAGTGTATGGTGAATAAATTCAAGAAAACCTCTATTCGTAAGCAACAGACAAATAATCAAACAGAAGTAGTCAAAATAATTGAAAAAGATGTTATGGAAGGTAAATATTTAAAACAAATTATTTAAAAATTTTACATGCATTTTAATATATCATAACCTGTTGAAATATAAATGTTAGCCACCAGAGTGATACAGTACACAGTCATATATGCATTTGCTCTGAGTGGGTTATCAGAAATGAACTTCGTTGACTTCCTGTTCTCATGCTTACAAATTTATTGCTACCTACCATTACTTCCTTCACTTAAGTTTCAGAGGAAAAGTTACCTTTTCCTCTAAATGAAAGACACTTCTCTCTGTCCTCTGTTTCTTCTATTCCTTCTCCCTAAATTCAAGTTATGAACTCTTCTGTTTTTTAGTCTTGTTTTCTCTTTTGATTCCATTTTTGGAGTTTGTAAATATGCTTTTACTTAAAACAGAAACAAAAAAAACAGCCAACAAAAGGAATAAAAGAAAAGAAAAACATACATTAGTTCTCCTAAAACCTTTCTTTTTCTTTTTAAATAACAATGCTTCTTTAAGCATAACCCACACTAGTCTCTCCTTCATCTCCCATATATTAAATTAAGCACATTAGACAACTTTCTACTACCCTTAGTCTACTGAAACTGCCCTAACAGAAGTTACCAACACCACCTTCTCTAAGTTCTTTTGAATCGTTATCTTCTGTAACATTTTTTACTATTATTTATGAATAACTTTTCTTCCTTTGTGTCTGTGGCACTTCACTGGCCTACTATACTCTTCAACCTTGTCATTTTTTTAGTCTTTGTGCTTTCTCTGCCAATCTTTTAGAATTTGATGTTTCTCAGTACTCTTGTCATTGGCCGCATTACCATCTCCTTTTATATTGTTTACTAATGCATTCACTTACTTACAGAGCTTAAGTTAATATCTAGATGTTGATTACTTATATGTCTATATTTCTAGCACAGATCTTTCTTCTGAACTCTAGTCTCACACATTTAACTGCTTACTGACATCTCTCTACAGCAGTTACACAAAATCAACATACCCAAAATATTTATTATCTCCTTGAGCATATCCTACCTTACAAAGAAAGCAAAACAAAACCTCACAATATCTCCTTCCTGAATTTGAAAAGGGTGTGCACCACTTACCAAAGCCAGAAGTAGAGAGGTATTCTATGTACTTTTTCCTTACTGTATCTATAGCACTGATCAATTGATTACATCAATTCTATCTTTTAAATATTTAACAAATCTGTTTCTTTAAATACAAATCTGTTTCCTTTAAATACTGCGTTTATTCAGATCCTTGTCTGTTGTCTTAACAATGGTAGTATTTCTGAAGTAGTTCCCTTACTTGCAGTTTTTCTTATTTATGATTTTACTACATGATCTCATTACTTCAGGAACTTTCAGTGGCTCCTCATCCTCTCTAGGTTAAAATTCAAATTTCTAGGCATGGCACATAAAGTTCTTTATTTTTAGGCCCTTCTTTTTTTCTATTTTCATCCTTATTCTCTTTTTTATTCTCTGTTTCAGTCGTACTAACTTGCAGAAAGTACCATTTTCTCTCACTCTTCCCTTGTATATATTTATACCTTCATTTGTAATAAACCCCAGTCAGCATTTGCAAGAACCAGAATACCTTTGTTCCTTACGAATCTAGTTTTGACATCCTTTCTCCTTACTCATCCACATTCATAATCATGAAAATTCTTATTTTACGGTAAAATCAACATTTGTTTTCCTTTGTATTATAGTTTTGGGAGGATGAATGTACAGGTCTCAGAGCATGTTTGTTTAACATGATTAGCAACTGTAATGTAATTCATATATTAATAGTTTTAGTTAGCTAGCTATGTATTTTTAAATCTACTTAAATAGATTTATGAGATGTGGTAGAAATACTCAACATAAACCTACATACCCTGATTTATTTTGGAGGAAGGGGTGTAAATAATCATGGAAACTAAGTAGTAAAAACTTCATTGATCAGAAATAATATATGAATCATTTCTTTAATAATTGGATGTCTTTTGTAGGTGTTACTGCAGATGATCACATGATGAAAGTAGAGACAGTTCACTGCAGTGCTTGCAGTGTGTATATCCCTGCTTTACATAGTTCAGTTCAGCAGCACTTAAAATCTCCTGATCATATCAAAGGGAAGCAGGTAAAATTTTGGTCTGTCTTAATAAAGTTGCTGGATTATCCATCAATTTTTTATTGTTCTTTGGCCATAGTTTTCCACCTATCTGTAGTTTTATCAAATTACCAGTTGTATATGGAAATAACTAATTATACTCAGAGAGGCAGTGTAGTATATATTGGTTAAGATTGTGAGCCCTGGAGTAAGACTCCCTGATTTGTTGAGTGTATAACATGTGTTAAGCAAGCAAGTTAGCCTTTCTTTTTTTGTCTAAGCTTCCTTATCTGTAAAATTAGGGCAGATGATCATTCTACTCTTACCTGATTTTTTTAAAGAATTAGATTAATTGAAACATATAAGGCAGTTAAAATAGTGCCTGGTAATGGTAAGCATTCAGGAAATCATAGCTTTTGTTGAACTGTTGTTTTAACTTTTTTTTAAAGTCCAAAACAGTTTTGTGAGAGAGAGACAGTGTGTGTGTGTGTGTGTGTGTGTGTGTGTGTGTGTGTTTTAGAATAAGAAAGTAAAGATTTGATTATTACTGATACATTTTTCTGATGGTTGGGAAAAATACATTTAAAAACAGAATTACCAACTAGCATCTATTGTTACATTTTTTTAGTAGAATATCCCTGAAAAATTTACTTCTTTTTGGTTAGTATATTTCTGCTTCTCTATTGGCTTGGTTGGTTTTATTTAGTCAGATTTTACTTTAGACCACACAGATGATTATATTGTGGGAAACTGGTTGGTTTGAAAAGCATATTTAAAGATTCAATTATTAAAGCCTTAAGTTTTAAATAGAACATACCCAAGTCTTAAATTTGTAATTTGTATTGAAGTGAACCTCATTTAACTCAGACTTCTTCAGGCATTTTTGAACACATAATCTTTCCTTAGTCTTTGTCTTTTTCTTCTCTTAATATTCCCATGACATCATTTTGGCAATTAGACATTCTATATTGTTTCCTTTCTTCCTCTGTATAATAGTCTTAAAATAACTATAGCCTAGAGGAAGACTAGATACCCTTGTAGTATGAAAAATTATTCTTTATATTTTGATAGCATGAAAATTAATAGTTGGGATCTGGGGAGGCAGATGTGGAGTGGAAAGAAGAGAAGGCAGCTGTCTAGTAGAATCTAGACTTGTAGATTTGGAGAACTGAGTGTTTTCTGTTGCAACTGATTGGCTTGAATCTTCATTGTTTTAATTCATAGGTTTAGATTGTGGTCACTGTAGTTGCTATTGCGCTATAGTTTGTAAGAAAATTAATCATTTAAATCTAAGGGTTTGAGCATGAAATGCTGCTTTAATTATGGAAATATTTTTCATGGCATGGTTTTCAAGTACTCTCAGTGTGTTCTGCTTTTTATAGGCTTATAAGGAACAAATAAAAAGAGAGAGTGTCTTGACTGCTACAAGCATTTTAAATAATCCAATAGTGAAGGCGCGATATGAACGTTTTGTTAAGGTAAGATTTTAGGGCAAAAGCCTTTTCAATAATATTGTATTGCAATGATTGGTGACATAGGAACCTTTTGTGATACTTGAATATAGTATAACATATTAATAAGACTTCTACTCAACATCTTACATATAGGTAAAGCATCTTTTTTCCTAATTGTTGGGATTGGCCAAATGGAAGCAGTGATTCCTCTCTTACCACCTTTGTAGCTCTGAATCAATTGAGAAATACATAAGGATTCAATAGAAAATAAAAATATAAGCTTTATTCTTGATTTAAGAAAAAATTGACTTGGAGAAGATACCTTAGATATGTGGTTGCTCTGGACTTTAATATTTCACTTCTAAATTAGGTAGACTTAGATGCCCCCAACTTCTGTTTACTGGCCAAGATGGACAATCAGCAGGCTTCTCCTAGTTTGCCACATGGCAAAGAACAGACTAGAATGTACCTTTTCTGTCACTGGGAAGACCCCAAAGAGAGGGCACCCAGAAGGGATTGAGTTGTGTACACCCAGTTTTTGCTTCCAAGCATACTAATTGATAAATCATTCCTTTTCCTTGTATAAAAGTTGGATGGTAGCAGGAAGGTCAGATATGTTGTTGCAGAAGAAGGAATCTCATGGAATTTGGAGGGCAGGAGAAGAGAGGTTTACTTCTAATGTTAGGAAACTCTTATGTGAATGATTGGATATATACCTGCCCTCCCCCGCTTTTTTTTTTTTTTTTGAGACAGAGTCTTGCTCTGTCATCAGGTGCCAGGCTGGAGTGCAGTGGCGCAATCTTGGCTCACTGCAATCTCCACCTCCTGGGTTCAAGCAGTTCTCCTGCCTCAGCCTCCTGAGTAGCTGGGACTATAGGCATGCGCCATCATGCCCAGCTAATTTTTGTATTTTTTAGTAGAGACGAGGTTTCACCATGTTGACCAGGATGGTCTCAGTCTCTTGACCTCGTGATCCGCCCGCCTCAGCCTCCCAAAGTGCTGGGATTACAGGCGTGAGCCACCGTGCCTGGCTACCTGGCCTGCTTTACTTCTCAGGGTTTTTGCCATATGTTATGGCTTGAATCCATCTTTACATAAAATTTATTATAAATACTATACAAATAGGAACTTACTATGATTCGGGAAATTAATAGAAATAAATTTCAGAGGTTAGTCTTTTGGTTTTGTTCTGTTTTTACTTATAATATCCACACTGGTCTGCTAGAAGTTAGTTTTTCAGTCTTTACAAAATAATACCTACCTTAAAATCATTATTCTCCACTGAAGAGAGCTGTTGTGTTGGAAGATTTACAAGAGTGTGTTATCTACATTAGTAATGTAGATTAAAGAAGTTTTGTTTATTTTGGCTATTGTGACTATTAACAGCTACTCTGTGAAGAAAACCTGATATATATTTAATGTCCATTAAATTGTCCCTCTGCCAGTGCTTTCTAAACTAAATAATACCAGTTCTTTTGGTTTGTTCCTTAGGGGCATATTTTCTAATTTGTTAATCTAATAGTCGTTAATATTTGTCACTGTTTACTATATTCTTGACACTACTTTAAAAAAATGAATGCAGCCCTGAATTGAAATCCAATTTTATGGGAGGTATGGCATCAAAAAGAAGCATCGTAGCTAAAGAAGGAAAAATTAGATTTTTTATTCTTGCTTTGTCACAAACTTTTGAGAAGTCAGTGGTTTTTATTGCTGTATGAAGATAATATTTAATGAGGGAAGAATGCAAAATTAGAATTTCCATATACCGTTTTCAAGTTACACAGTCCAGTCTCTTCATGGAATGGGAGACGTCACTTGTGGGAGTATTCTGCTCATGCACATACTGTAGAGAATTCACCTGAACTGAGAACTCCTCTAGAACTTTGTTACTCAGAATGTGATCTGTGGTTCAGTATTGGCATCACTTAGGAGCTCATTAGAAATGCAGAATTTCGGGTCATACCCAGGCCTACTGAATAAGAATCTTCATCTTAACAAGATCCCTGTTGATTTATATGCATGTGAAAAATCAAGAAGCATTCCGATCACATTACTCAATAACGACCCTTTGTTTAGTGTGCCTCTCTGCTCCCTTCCCTGTTGTCATTCCCTGGAACGTCCTTTGCTCATGGTCAGCTCTGTCATGGCTTAAAACTCCTCCACTGTCAAGTGCTCTTAGTCTGACAAAATGCCCTTTTAAATCTTTGTTCCTTAGAGACACAGCAGAGAAGACAGGAAAAACAACAACAACAACAACAACACTTTGTCCCATTGAGATAATCAGTTCATCAGTTTCTCCTAATTCTCCAACTGTATCATCCTGTTCTGCCTTAACTTTAACTCCCTGTTCTATGCATTCATAATCACCCCTTTTGGTAGGGAATGCTACTGTTCCTAAATTCCTTATTTGTTCTAGCTCTATGGTTAGCGTTATTGTTTGTCTTGCTAAAAAATATGAATCGTGCCAGTCCTCTGTTTCCCAGATTTTCACTCAATTCACAATAATTTTACTTAATAACTACCAGTGTAATGTGTTTTTTATAGTGACTCTTCCAATGTTTAATAACTTCATGTCTCAGATTTCATTCATGCTCTTTGCTTCCCATATCTTTTTCATATATATATATATATATTTTTTTTTTTTAAGATAGAATCTCATTGTGTTGCCCAGGCCGGAGTGCAGTGGTGCCATAGTAGCTCACTGCAGCCTTGAAATCCTGGGTTTAAGCCATTCTTCTACCTCAGCCTCTCTAGTAGCTGGGATTACAGGCACACACCACCACACTCAGCTATTAACCATGTTCTTATTTCTTCTCTTGCATTAGGGAGATTGAGACAATTAGATGTGAATTCAGTAAGTGTTGGCATTTCTGCCTTAGATATATCCTTCCTCCACCTTTATTATCTGTGAGGAAGAACCTTCTTTGCCCTTCATCTGTGTCTTTATTTCATCATTATTTCTTCACTTACTTGCATCTGATTTTTTTCCTGTTTTTTTTTCTCTAGTCTTCCACAAATGGACATGCTTTTGAGTTCCCTAAACTAAAAATGACTTAGCTTTTCCTAGATTTTGGCCCACCCTATTTTATCATCTCATCTCTTCCCAGCATTCTTGAAATGGTAGTTAACTTTGCACGTGCTCTTCACTTCCTCTCTTTCCTTCTCAACCAAAGGAATGTGCTCAGTTACCCGTGAGGCTAAAATAAATAAAAAGCTGCCTAAGCTCTTTTTTAGGCTTTCTGAATTAGGGTTTCCCAAACTTTGCTGATAAATACCTCCTGAAATGCTGCCTTTTTTTGTTGTTGTTTTTTGGTGAGATGCAGTCTCACTCTCGCCCAGTCTGGAGTGCAGTGGCGCCGTCTTGGCTCACTGCAACCTCCACCTGCCAGGTTCAAAAGATTCTCCTGCCTCAGCCTCCCGAGTAGCTCTGTCTACAGGCATGCACTTCCACACCCAGCTAATTTTTGCCCAGAAATGCTTCTTAAATGTGCAAGTTACCAAACTTTTCCCCTGGAAAGTTTGATTCAGGTGGTCTAAGATTAATCCAGGAATTTGTGTTTTCAGCAAGAGCTCCAGTACAGACTAAATGAAAATCTTAGGGTGTTGGAACCAGGGCCTGTGGTGTTTGACAGCTTCATAGGAAATTTAAAGATACATTCTTGGACAACTGCTACTGTCTAATTCTCACATCATACTTTTGAAACTGCTCTTCCTAAGATTACTAATGATATCATTATCAAATCTAGTGACCTTTAATACATTTTAACATATGATCATTTTAAACATATAAAAATAAGGGGATAGTACAATAAATCTTCAAGAAGCCTCATTTTGTAAAGGTGATCAACTCTAGTGACCTTTGCCAATTGCTTTCTGCTTTTTATTTATTTTTATGTCATTTGATACTGTTGATCTATCACTCTTGAAACTCTTTTCCCAGATAGTCTTTTACTGTTCTGGGTTTCCTCCTGCACCAAGTGTTCCGTCATTTCTAACTTCTGCCCCCATGTGCAGTATAGGCATCTTCCTAGGGTTTTTATTCCAGTCCTTTTTTCTACTTAATCCATCAGTCCCATCCCAGGGCTTTCCCATTTAAGACCCTCATTTCACCATGCACTCTGTGCAAGCAGGCAATTCGCAAATTTAAATATCTTACTTTGAACTCTTCTCTCTTTTGAGTTGCAAACTTATAGCTGCCTATTAGACATCTGGATATCTGAAGTTATATATATTAATAGCATATACATACTTCTTCCCCTTTTCCTTTCCATTAGAATAGTGATTGTAATTTATCTGTTCCTAAAAATGTCATCATGTCTTTTACATTTCCCTGGTCTGGGCTATTAGAGTAGCCTCCTCACTAGTAGTTCTTCTTTTGGTTCTCTGCTTCATCCTGCACATTCCCGTGCCATTCATCTTAAAGGATAGTGCCAGTCTTAATATTTTCCTGTTTAATACTCTCCACTGTTACGTCATTTCTTATTACATTAATATGGCCTTCTGATATGGTCAAATTAATATGAGATTGATCCAGATATATAATTCAAGTATTAAAATATTAAAATAAAGTTGTACCTGTGAATGTTTACTGAGAGGTTTGTCTACTTTTTAAAAGTAGAAATGAGGCATGTTATCTAGTACGTAAAACAAGGTACCTGATTTTCATTTGAGTTTTTCAGAGATTCTGTAACATTAAATACTCATATAAGTAAGTAAAATATACATCTTTGCATCATCTCTTTTGTTTCTACTAAAAACCACACTTGCCTTTGTCATATATATATATATATATATATATGATTTTAGAAATATAGTTCAGGGGAAAATATGACCTTTATTCCAATTTATGGAGTATAAAGTAATGGCTTCATTTATATATGCACATTGATATGAAATGGACACTCAACAAATACTTGATGAATTTATTATAATTTAAAATGAAAAGTTTCCAAATGGTATTTATTCCTCATGATATGGAAAGTAAAAATTTCACTTGCCATATCATGTAACAATGAATGTGCTGATTTTAAAAGTCATTTCTTATGTTTTTAGGGTGAGAATCCTTTTGAAATTCAAGACCATTCTCAGGATCAGCAAATAGAAGGAGATGAGGAGGATGAAGAGAAGATTGATGAACCTATTGAAGAAGAGGAAGATGAAGAGGAAGAAGAAGAAGCAGAGGAAGTGGGGGAAGCAGAGGAAGTGGAAGAAGTAGAGGAAGTGAGAGAAGGAGGAATAGAGGGTGAAGGAAATGTAGAGGGAGTGGGGGAAGGAGGGGAAGCAGGGGCAGTGGGAGAAGTAGAGGGAGTGGGGGAAGTAGAGGACGTTGAGGAAGAAACAGCAAAGGAAGAACCTGCTGACTTTCCTGTTGAGCAACCTGAAGAAAATTAAATACAAGTTATTAGATTTAAAAGGAGCTTTACATTTCTGTTCTAATGTAAAAAAGGGTAAGAAATTTAATAGCTTAAAATAAATTAACACCCATGTTGCATGCATTCCACATACTAAAATTTGTTTTATATAATTTCTAAATGTTTGACATTTGTTTAATAAAATGAAGGTAAAACTATTTTAGTTTAGTTTTTATAGCTACCAAACTTAGATCCAATAAACTGTATAATTTTTAAGCTTAATTTTTATTACTTTATTGATGTTAAGGATAACAAATGTGTATTGTTAGTATATCTATTCTAATCATTTTATCTTAAATGCTGCTCTTGGGAGAGAATATTCAAGTATGCATTAATTTTTTGAATACTTACCCTAGAAGATATAAACTGGGCAAGTATTTTGTGCTCTGTGTATTTTTTTACTGCATTGACATTGAATAGTAATTTGCGTTAAGATACGCTTAACGGCTTTTTGTGACCATGTTTCTCTTTGTAGCAATAAAATGTTTTTTACGAAAACTTTCTCCCTGGATTAGCAGTTTAAATGAAACAGAGTTCATCGATTAAATGAGTATTTAACATCAAAATTTGCCTTAATGTATAAGTCCAGTTCACAAGTATTTTAAATCAATTAAGAAGACTTGAATTTAAGAAAAAAATTTTTCTCAATCATATTTTTGAAAAGTAAGACTAAAAATTTTTTTAAAAACATTTCAAGTAGAGGTCAGTCTGTAGCTGACCTTTTTTAATATTTGTTTTAGTTTGTTCCTTTTCTCTGTACCTGTGTCAAATCTTGAAGTCTTCCTGAAAATACATTTGAATACAAATAAGTATTCTGTGGTTGTGTTAGTTCTTTTGTCATGTCTATTTTTGGCTGAAGAACCAAGAAACAAACTTTACTTTTTAAAGAATTACTTCTCTTTCAGATATTTCTATCCTTTTTAAAAAATTACTTTTTGTGGCTTACACACCTACACATTTAAAAAGGGCATATGAGCTTGATAGAGTATCTATTCTGAAGTCATTTATTTTCAAACAACCATCTATCTACGTCACTAAAAAGTAGTGCTCTTATTTTTTTTAACCTTTACTTTGGCCTCTTTTGAGAGCAGAGGCTGTATTTTATTTTATTTTTAGATTGGGTCTCGCTCTGTTGCCCAGACTGGATGGAGTGCAGTGTAACCTCAACCTCCTGGGCTCAAGTTATCCTCCAACTTCAGCCTCCCAAGTAGCTGGGACTGTTAAGTGAGCCACCACGCCCAGCTAATTTTTGTAGATTTTGTACAGATGTTGTTTTACCATGTTGTCCAGGCTGGTCTCGAACTTCTGGGCTCAAGTGATCTCCCTGTCTTGGCCTCTCAAAGTGCTGGGATTACAGGTGTGAGCCACTATACCTGGCCTAGGGGGATATATTTCAGTGAAATTAGCTTCTCAAAGTTTTGAGGCGTCTAATGGATAAATGTATGGATGTATCAAAATTAAGTAAGTGGGTGAATGTATGAACATTTGTAGAATCCCACAGATAATTTATCTTTTGTATAAAATACAGCTTTTAAAACTAGACTTTCTGGACCAAAGAAGTTTTTTTTTTTTAGGTGAACTAGGTTTGCCTACCTTTAAGCTAGGAATATCCAAAAGATATTTGTATCTAATTTTAGGGATTTGGTGCCAAATAAGAGAAGGTTAATTGAAGACTAGTGAAATTTGGATCCTATCTAGGAGTCTATATTTACTTAGCAGGCTTCAGAAAGCCTTGTTTAGGAGTTCAAATTTTTTTTTTTTTTTAATTTTTTATTGGATTTTAGGTTTTGGGGTACATGAGCAGAGCATGCAAGACAGTTGCGTAGGTACACACATGGCAGTGTGCTTTGCTTTTCTTCTCCCCTTCACCCACATTTGGCATTTCTCCCCAGGCTATCCCTCCCCACCTCCCCCTCCCACTGGCCCTCCCCTTTTCCCCCCAATAGACCCCAGTGTTTAGTACTCCCCTTTCTGTGTCCATGTGTTCTCATTTTTCATCACCCACCTATGAGTGAGAATATGCGGTGTTTCATCAGTTTGCTGAGGATGACGTTCTCCAAATTAATCCATGTCCCTACAAACGACACAAACTCATCATTTCTGATTGCTGCATAATATTCCATGGTGTATATGTGCCACATTTTTCCAATCCAGTCTATTACCAATGGGCATTTGGGTTGATTCCAGGTCTTTGCTATTGTAAACAGTGCTGCAATGAATATTTGTCTACATGTGTCCTTATAGTAGAACGATTTATAGTCTTTTGGATATATACCCAGTAATGGGATTGCTGGGTCAAATGGAATTTCTATTTCTAAGGCCTTGAGGAATCGCCACACCGTCTTCCACAATGGTTGAACTAATTTACACTCCCACCAACAGTGTAAAAGTGTTCCTTTTTCTCCACATCCTCTCCAGCATCTGTTGTCTCCAGATTTTTTAATGATCGCCATTCTAACTGGCGTGAGATGGTATCTCAATGTAGTTTTGATTTGCATCTCTCTGATGACCAGTGACGATGAGCATTTTTTCATATGATTGTTGGCCTCATATATGTCTTCTTTCGTAAAGTATCTGTTCATATCCTTTGCCCACTTTTGAATGGGCTTGTTTGTTTTTTTCCTGTAAATCTGTTTGAGTTCTTTGTAAATTCTGGATATCAGCCGTTTGTCAGATGGGTAAACTGCAAAAGTTTTTTCCCATTCTGTTGGTTGCCGATCCACTCTAGTGACTGTTTCTTTTGCTGTGCAGAAGCTGTGGAGTTTGATTAGGTCCCATTTGTCTATTTTGGCTTTCGTTGCCAATGCTTTTGGTGTTCTGTTCATGAAGTCCTTGCCTCCTCCTATGTCCTGGATAGTTTTGCCTAGATTTCCTTCTAGGGTTTTTATGGTGCCAGGTCTTATGTTTAAGTCTTTAATCCATCTGGAGTTAATTTTAGTGTAAGGTGTCAGGAAGGGGTCCAGTTTCTGCTTTCTGCACATGGCTAGCCAGTTTTCCCAACACCATTTGTTAAACAGGGAATCCTTTCCCCCTTGCTTGTTTTTGTCAGGTTTATCAAAGATTGTATAGTTGTAGATATGTTGTGTTGCCTCCGGTGCCTCTGTTTTGTTCCATTGGTCTATATCTCTGTTTTGGTACCAGTACCATGCTGTTTTGATTACTGTAGCCTTGTAGTATAGTTTGAAATCCGGTAGTGTGATGCCCCCCGCTGTGTTCTTTTTGCTTAGAATTGACTTGGATATGTGGGCTCTCTTTAGGTTCCATATGAAGTTCATGGTGGTTTTTTCCAGTTCTGTGAAGAAAGGCAATGGTAGCTTGATGGGGACAGCGTTGATTCTGTAAATTACTTTGGGCAGTATAGCCATTTTCACGATATTAATTCTTCCTAACCATGAACATGGAATGTTTCTCCATCTGTTTGTGTCCTCTCTGATTTCGTTGAGCAGTGGTTTGTAGTTCTCCTTGAAGAGGTTCCTTACGTTCTTTGTGAGTTGTATTCCAAGGTATTTTATTCTTTTTGTAGCAATTGTGAATGGCAGTTCGTTCTTGATTTGGCTTTCTTTAAGTCTGTTATTGGTGTATAGGAATGCTTGTGATTTTTGCACATTGATTTTATATCCTGAGACTTTGCTGAAGTTGCTTATCAGTTTCAGGAGTTTTTGGGCTGAGATGATGGGGTCTTCTAGGTATACTATCATGTCGTCTGCAAATAGAGACAATTTGGCTTCCACCTTTCCTATTTGAATACCCTTTATTTCTTTTTCTTGCCTGATTGCTCTGGCTAGAACTTCCAGAACTATATTGAATAGGAGTGGTGAAAGAGGGCATCCTTGTCTAGTGCCAGATTTCAAAGGGAATGCTTCCAGTTTTTGCCCATTCAGTATGATAGTGGCTGTTGGTTTGTCATAAATAGCTTTTATTACTTTGAGATACGTTCCATCAATACCGAGTTTATTGAGGGTTTTTAGCATAAAGGGCTGTTGAATTTTGTCAAATGCCTTCTCTGCGTCAATTGAGATAATCATGTGGTTTTTGTTTTTGTTTCTGTTTATGTGGTGAATTACGTTGATAGACTTGCGTATGTTGAACCAGCCTTGCATCCCCGGGATGAATCCTACTTGATCATGGTGATTAAGTTTTTTGATTTGCTGTTGCATTCGGCTTGCCAATATTTTATTGAAGATTTTGCATCTATGTTCATCATGGATATTGGCCTGAAGTTTTCTTTTCTTGTTGGGTCTCTGCCGGATTTTGGTATCAGGATGATGTTGGTCTCGTAAAATGATTTGGGAAGCATTCCCTCTTTTTGGATTGTTTGAAATAGTTTTAGAAGGAATGGTACCAGCTCCTCTTTGTGTGTCTGGTAGAATTCGGCTGTGAACCCGTCTGGACCTGGGCTTTTTTTGTGTGGTAGGCTCTTAATTGCTGCCTTGACTTCTGACCTTGTTATTGGTCTATTCATAGTTTCAGCTTCCTCCTGGTTTAGGCTTGGGAGGACACAGGAGTCCAGGAATTTATCCATTTCTTCCAGGTTTACTAGTTTATGCGCATAGAGTTGTTTGTAATATTCTCTGATGATGGTTTGAATTTCTGTGGAATCTGTGGTGATTTCTCCTTTATCTTTTATTGCATCTATTTGGTTGTTCTCTCTTTTCTTTTTAATCAATCTGGCTAGTGGTCTGTCTATTTTGTTGATCTTTTCAAAAAACCAGCTCTTGGATTTATTGATTTTTTGAAGGGTTTTTCGTGTCTCAATCTCCTTCAGTTCAGCTCTGATCTTAGTTATTTCTTTTCTTCTGCTGGGTTTTGAGTTTTTTTGATCTTGCTCCTCTAGCTCTTTCAATTTTGACGATAGGGTGTCAATTTTGGATCTCTCCATTCTCCTCATATGGGCACTTATTGCTATATACTTTACTCTAGAGACTGCTTTAAATGTGTCCCAGAGGTTCTGGCATGTTGTGTCTTCGTTCTCATTGGTTTCAAAGAACTTCTTTATTTCTGACTTCATTTCATTGTTTACCCAGTCAACATTCAAGAGCCAGTTGTTCAGTTTCCATGAAGCAGTGCAGTTCTGGGTTGGTTTCTGAATTCTGAGTTCTAACTTGATTGCACTATGGTCTGAGAGGCTGTTTGTTATGATTTCAGTTGTTTTGCCTTTGTTGAGCAGTGCTTTACTTCCAATTATGTGGTCAATTTTTGAGTAGGTGTGATGTGGTGCTGAGAAAAATGTATATTCTGTGGATTTGGGGTGGAGAGTTCTGTAAATGTCTATCAGGTTTGCTTGCTCCAGGTCTGAGTTCAAGCCCTGGATATCCTTGTTGATTTTCTGTCTGGTTGATCTGTCTAATATTGACAGTGGAGTGTTAAAGTCTCCCACTATTATTGTGTGGGAGTCTAAGTCTCTTTGTAAGTCATTAAGAACTTGCCTTATGTATCTGGGTGCTCCTGCATTGGGTCCATATATGTTTAGGATCGTTAGCTCTTCTTGTTTTATCGAT